GCTGTGGTCTGGGCAGCCTCAGGGTGGCTCGTCCATGGTGAATGGGCTCATTCATGTCCACAGCCCAGCCCCGCAGCTCCACTTCCAGTGTGAGAGCTCTTTCACGGTTCCCACGAACACACACTCAAGCTTCTCCACAACAGGCTGACTTGAGCTTTCTAGACTGTCACAGGACCGAGACCTTGTCCTATTCTGGGGAAACTGAGGCCCAGGGAGGGACAGAGCTGCCCCAGCCCCACCCACTCTCAGCAGTCCCAGCCTGCATCTCCACACCTCTGGGCCTTTCCCCTCCCCTCTGCCACGGAGGCCCAGCTGGAGGGCCTGCTCCTGCAATGTCAGCCCTCGCCCGTCTGCCTTCCTGTAGTGCATCGCTCATCAGAGCCATAGCCAGCTGGTGCTGTCTGCAGTACTGCCAGCTGCTCACAGTCACCTGTGCCTGGGTGTGGGGACTGAGCTGTCCATGTATGTCCCAGTGCAGCCCTCAGCCACCTCATGAGGGAGGTACTCTTACATATCTGTTCTGCAGGTGGTTGGGCCCTCATTGGCCACTGCACAACCATGGGCTCTGGTGTTTCATCGGGTCCTGCCTGTGCCGGCTACCCCGTTGAGAGCAGGGCTTCTGCCCAGGGGAGGGCAGGGCTGTGTGGACTCAGCCACAGAGTGGCAGGAGCAGCAGGAGCTGCTGCCCGGCTGGGGTTTCGGGTCACACTTGCCCCAGGGTTTATGCTGGTTCCAGGAGGAGCTGAAACCTGATGTCACCTGCATTTTATGTGAGATCTCGAGCTTGAGACCCTGGTTGGGCCATCTGGCCTTGCCCTGTGGAGTGGGGCCCTGGTGGAGAGTGAGTGGACAGGGATACAGGACAGGTCAGTGTGGAGCCTTCCCTAGCCACATGGCCATGTCACACGGCCACCACTTGCCCATTCCCAGCACAGGACAGGGCCCTCGCCTGGCTGCAGCATGTGGTGAGGCTCTTATCTGAGGGTACCAGTTCTTATGAGTAGGTATTTGCATGTGGCTGTCCGGAACCAGTGTGACGCTGGGCTGCATGAAGCTTGAGTAGGGAGGTGACGCTCTCACCTCCTGTGGTGAGGAAGCCAATACCCAGGTTAAAGTCTGTTCTGGGGCATTGAGTGTATTTGGACCAGTTTGAGCAGGAACTTTCTTTTTGCAAACAGCCAAGAAATGACTTTCATAGGGACTGTGTCCAGCTGCCCGGCAGCTGACACTCCTTGATACAAATCTCTGGTTCCCCACCGCAAAGCGGTCAGACTCCCCGCCAGTTGCAGAGGTTTCTGACAGGAGGCATCTCCTCTGCGTTGTTCACATAAACGAATGTGCAGACCAACCCCAGCCTCCTAGGAGGCACTGACTCACTGCCGAGTAGGCACTAGAGAGAGCTGGGCGGGCATCACAGCCCTGGGCTGGCATCGCGGGCAACTAATGGCAGATGCCTTTCCATCAGGACTGCTGCTGCACTGGCAGCTGGAGAAGTGACAGCGAGGGGGGGAGGGCTTCTTGCCAGGATGTCATGGGAGTTGGTTCTCAGCTGTGCCCTGGCGAGTCACCCCTCCCAAGGCCTTGGTCCCCGTGTGTGGAGTAGAAAGCCCTGCCCCTTGCAGTGGGGTCATGGTTTGCAGAGGCAGCTCCTCTGGTTCCAGGGCCTGGGGGAGAGTCACTGCAGGAGAAGAGGGTGATGCTCCATCAGCAAGCAGGGCCAGATAACTCCAGAGCTGTCTCCAGCTTTGCCCCAGGGGCCCAGGGCCCCAGTTGAGCATTGGGAGGATGGTGCCCAGCCCTGTCACACCACCTTTGGGTATGAGGGTAAAACTTCACCCAGGCCCGGATGGGCTGGGAAGGGGGATGGAGCCGCAGCTGGCATGTGCCACAGGCTACATACACCCACCAAGGGCAGGTGGTGCCAGGGGAGCCCCCCAAGGCCAGACTAGTTGCAGGGGCACAGCCAGATATATGCTGCAGGAGGGTGGGCAGGGCTTCTGGGAAGAAGGGGCCTTGAGCCAGGCACTGCAGAGTGAGCAGAACGTGGACAGGTCCTGGAGGCCGGGCCTTCTGACCAGCCCTCCTGACCTGTAAGGATCCCAGCCCAGGGCAAGTGCCCACAACCATCTACGGCTTCACCACCTGGCGGTGTGGAGCCCATATGCGGTGAGGGCTCAGCCAGCGTCAGGGATGGCAGGACAGAGCGAGACGCCTAGCTCAAGTGCTGCCCACGCACTGAAGTGCCGTGTGTCTCTAAGCCCAAGCCAGGGCTGGTCGGTGCCCCCCACAGGCTCTCCCAACCCTGCCAGGCGGGGCCAACCGAGAGATGGGAGGGGGGAACTGGGAATCTACACAAATAGAGGTTGGTTTTGTTGTTATTCTTTGAAGCCCGTCATCTCCCAGGTGCCCACTAAATCATGGCCGAAATCATTCCCCATGGCTTGTCCCAAGGAATAGAGAAGAAACCAGCAAGCTGAGCCCCAAAATGCCAGCAAAGCAAGAGGAGCCCCGGATGGGAGCATGAGCCTGAGATGAGGGAGGGTTTGGAACACAGGCGACGCCTGTCCTGTCGCGGCTGCCACAGCAGTCGGGGGCGTGGTGAGTGCATGCAACGCACCATGCCATCAGGCAGCGGGCCCTGCTTCCTCTGCCCTCTGCTGCCTTGTGAGATACATGCCTCACTTTCATGGTCTCTAAGTCAGGAACCTGAGGCTCAGATAGTTGTCCAGGTCCTCTAAGTGCAAAGTCATCAGCAGGGAAGTGGTTCAGACGGGGGGGAAGGGCTCATGGTGCATTGGGACAGCTTGATGGAGCCAGGACTCATGGGGGCTTGGGTCAGGAGTCTTGGGTGGTGGTGAACAAGAAGAGTGGCTGAGATGGCCTTGGGCACGGGGGTCCACGTGGTCTCTCGGCCCCTTTCACTACCCTGCAGAGCTTGCTCCTCAGGTCTGCAGCTGTGCTTTCCCGTGCACATGTGCCCTGCAGAGCCCTCTCTGCCGACAGTCAGTACAGGTGCACTGTTTCTGCGTCTTCGAGGCGGCCCTCCTGCCTCTCCTCTTCCCTTCCCATACAATAAGTTCCGCTGTGGAGGTACTGGCTGCTCCAGGCACTGCTGGGGCGGGATTGTGCACCTTGGTTGTCTCTGCAGAACAGCCCATACCCCCCAGACCTGAGACTACCCACTTTTCAGAGTCCCCATTTTTCCTAAGCACATTCTAAAGAAGGAACAAATTGGTTTGTGGAACACAGCGTCCCAGCACAATGACAGGTACCTCTGGGCATCCTTCCTTGCCCCACACCTGGCTCCTCGGCACACATCCTGCCAGAGAACCAGGGGCTCTGGGGGCAGGTTTCTGTGGCATCCTCCTGGGCACCCCAACCCTAGGGCTCCTGGCCATGGGACTTGGAGCACATTTCCTGCCTTTCCAAGCCTCGGTTTCTTCGTCTATAAAATAGGAATAGGAAGATGTGGGGATAGAACGGGCTGCCACTGCATGTCCAGCTGTGGTTACCATCGTCATTGTCACCGCAGTCGTTGGTACTGCTGCTGCCTTGTGCCCAAGCTATCAATACCGACAGAGTTAGCGTTGTCATCACCATGGTCATTGGTGATGAAATCTGCTCAGAAAAGTCCTCAGATCTGAAACCTCGGATCTAAATTAAACTGGTTCCAGACTTTGTCCAGACACTTGGCTTAGTTTATCTTAAAAGGAGGGGCAGGCCAGGCGCGGTGGCTCACGCCTGTAATCCTAGCTAGCTCTCTGGGAGGCCGAGGTGGGCGGATTGTTTGAGCTCAGGAGTTCGAAACCAGCCTGAGCAAGAGAGAGACCCCGTCTCTACTAAAAATAGAAAGAAATTAATCGGACAACTAAAAATATAGAAAAAATTAGCCAGGCATGGTGGCGCATGCCTGTAGTCCCAGCTACTCGGGAGGCTGAGGCAGGAAGATCGCTTGAGCCCAGGAGTTTGAGGTTGCTGTGAGCTAGGCTGACGCCACGGCACTCTAGCCCGGGCAACAGAGTGAGACTCTGTCTCCAAAAAAAAAAAGGAGGGGCAGCTTTCACCAGCAGCAATTCCAAGTGGTAGTTCCAGGCACTTCCTTCTTTTAAAAGTTAGAATTGTCAGTTTTGTGGGGAAATGGTGGATTGGAGAGTCAGACAAAAGCCTCATGCTCCTTAAAAACCCAGAGTTACTGTAACACATTTAAAGACCCTCAGAAAGAGAAGAATGGAAGATTGGCCTGGTGCCAGGCTCCATGATGGTCACTGCTGCCTCCTGTCTTCTGCACATCCCGAGCACCCGCTCAGCCCAGGCCACCAGGCAGAGAGCCAGGATCCTGCCCTGGGCAGATGCGGGGAGCCAGGAGCCCCACAGCAGCTGGTGGGGACACCGCACCCAGGGAGGGCAGGGAAGGAGCCTGGCCCCAGGCTGGCGTTTCCTTACCAGCTGGAAGCTTTGGTTACAGAAGGGAAGGCCACCCCCTCACAGACTATGGATGGACCTAGGCCGTGACAAAAGACGGCAAAAACCCAGATGGCAGAAGGTCGCCCACACATGTTGAGGGAGACAGGGAAGACAAGCTCTCACGTGAGGGTGTGGGGCAGGCTGGGGTGGGCTCTGGGAAGACTATAGGGTGCTCAGGGTGAGGTTGGAGGTGCCCAGGCCCACAGGTTGGAGGAGGCTGTGCTCAGCATGGCTGCAGCCCCAAAGCCACATGCTGAGCTCACTGACCATGGGACCCAGAGGGACCCAGGAGGCCAGAGAACCTCTTCCAAACACGCGCCGTGAGCAAGGAGGGTGTTGCCGGCTGTACCAGGGGAGGCCAGTGAAGACAGATTGGACCAGACAGAGGACAGCCTCCCTGACAGAAGGGGGTGCTGTTGCAGGGACCGGCCTTGGGCTGGAGACCCTGGAAGGAGGACTTCCTCCCGGCAGGGCTGTGGGTCTGGGGTCTCTGCCCGCTGCCTGCCTGCCTAATGCTAGCACTTTCCTTCCCCCAGAGTCGAATGGCAGAGAGCCTGCGGCTTTTTGACTCCATCTGCAACAACAACTGGTTCATCAACACCTCGCTCATCCTCTTCCTGAACAAGAAGGACCTGCTGGCGGAGAAGATCCGGCGCATCCCGCTCACCATCTGCTTCCCCGAGTACAAGGGCCAGAACACGTACGAGGAGGCCGCTGTCTACATCCAGCGGCAGTTTGAGGACCTGAATCGCAACAAGGAGACCAAGGAGATCTACTCTCACTTCACCTGCGCCACCGACACCAGTAACATCCAGTTTGTCTTTGATGCGGTGACAGACGTCATCATACAGAACAATCTCAAGTACATTGGCCTTTGCTGAGCAGCGGCCGGGCCCGCTTGCCTGTGGTGAAAACACGGGGCGTCACGCCCCAACTCATGCTAGAGCGGCCCACCCGGGGGCAGAAAACGGGGGTCTATGGAATGCCCCCCACCCCTTGGCCTCCACCTCCTTGGCCCCATGTTTCCGCAAACATTAAAATATATGGATAGATTGCTAGGTAGGTAGACACACACGTACACATGCACATGTCTGGAGATGGCAAAGTCCTCTGAAGCGCCAAGGTCTCTTGGAGACACGAAAAGCTGTCACAGAATCATGACAAGCCCATCCTGCCCCTTCACTTTGCCTTCCTGAGGTGGCCCTACTCTGCATGGGGGTCTGCGCTGGACTGTCAGGGTGTGGCAGTGGGCTGGGGCTGGGTCAGGCCAGCTTGCCGCCCAAGCCCCAGTCTGGGGACATTGCTGCTGACCACGAGGGAGGACCAGTGTGGGGCCTGTGCACTTCCCTGCTAGCTGCGCCCACTGTTGGCCTACACATGGCTGCTCTGCACCACATCTGTTCCCGACCTGGGACCTTGGGAGCCAGGTGGCAGCACTAACCCGACCTCCAGCCACTCACAGCTCTTTTTAAACAGCTTCAAAATATGCAGCAAAAATCAACACGATAAAATGAGTGGCACGATTTATTTCCAACTAGGGTTGGGGTTCCAGCTGGGGTTCCAGCTTTTCTTCTACTAGTCTGATGTTTTATAAATCAAAACCTGGTTTTTCTTCTCTGACATCCTTTTTTTTGGCCAAATCTCGTGGTGTTTCGCAGAAAAACAAAAAATACAGAAAATTTCAAATGCAGTTGAGTATTCTTTTTTAAATGCAGATTTTCAAAACATATTTTTTTTTAGGTGATCCTTTTTGTGTCTGGCTTGCTGAGTGTAAAAGTTGTTATCTGGACGATTCTGTCCCTCTGCTCCAAAGAAATCCTGGGGTAGGTGGCAGTCCTGCACCAGCCTCGTGGGACACATGTTGTACATAAGCCTCTGCAGCGTCCTCTTGTCACTGGTACAGTTTTCTGCTTTGTTTTTATTTAAGAAAATAAACGTGATGTATTTAAAGAAGGCCCTTCACCTAAGAGCGAATGAACAATAGCTAAACGTCTTGGTATTTAAAGAGTAAATTATCCGTGGCTTTGCCGAGTGAAAGAAAGGGAGCGAGAGATGGCGCCCCCTCGTCCCCACACACCCCGCACCTGAGGTGGGCTGGGAGCGCCTCCAACTCCTGTGAAGGCACAGCCAGCGTTGTGGCCTGAGGGAGGCCCTGCTGGGACCGCACATGGGCTTTCCTGCCCAGGGCCGTGGGACCTTCGCTGAGGGCTGCATGTACATAGGAACCCCTCGTGGGGAGGCCGTCAGAGCCCTTGCCAAATCTCTCTCGCCCTTTGTGTGGCCTCTGTGTCCGAGGTCAGTGTGCAGATTCACAGCCGAGGACTTCAAGAGATGTACAGAGGGAAAGAGAGGAGCTGGTGGTCGTATGAAAGTCAAAAATTGTCTACTTTAAGAAAATAAAATAACCCTGAATGGAGCCGAGCCTCGTCCCAGTGTGCTGTGTGTGTGGCCGACGTGTGGCTGGCATGGTGCCTCTGGGAGGGCAGCCAGGGACCTTGTGCACTGAGGTTCCTTTTCTGCCTCCGATCTCCACACCTCCACATGTTCAGGTAAAATCATTCTCAAAGGAACATCAAGAATAAACCACCTCAAGAGAGGAGAGAAGCTACAGAAGATGGGAGACCTGCCAGACCTGTGTGGCCGAGGGGCAGATAATGGTTCCTCCCCATCCCACTGTCCCCAGGGTCCTGCCCAGCACTGGCCCAGGCCGTGCCATCACCCAGACCCCTCCCCTCACACCCTGCAGACACCTCTGCCAAGGTCAGGGTCATCCCACACAGCGGATGGGGCGCCCAAGAGCCTGAAGGAGGCGACCACCCCCATTAGTGTAGAGCAAACCCTTCAGGGTGCTGGGGAGGAGGGGACACTGAGGCTCACTGCTCACTGGTCAGAGGCACCTCGACATTGTTGAGAAGCGCTGATGAGAAGGCAAGGAGGTGCCCTTCGCCAAGTGCCTGCCGCGAGCCAGACACCGAGCCAGGCTGCTTACAAATCATTTTATTTAACACTCCACCTTGGCAGGTTACCAGTGCTGACCCACCCCATTTTACAGATGAGGAAAGGTGCCCAAGGTCAAGGTCAGGGAGCAGATGAGCCTGGATTTGCCAGGCAGAGGAGCTGTCCTGCTGGGAGGAGCAGAAGCGTGGGCCCAGTGCCTTCCCGAGGACGGATCCTTGCCTGGCTCTGCCCCTTGGGCACTCCAGGGCAGGAGCCCACTGGGAGCACCGAGCCATCCTGCAGCCTCCCCCTCAAAGCAGGACCTCGAGCAAAGCCCTGAGTGGGGGGCGGGCGGCAGACGCACACGTGCACATGCATGCCCACAAACGCGTGCACACATGCACACATGCACAGATGCACACACTGAGACACACACGGATCCGGCTCTCTTGTCCCCGCCCACTCCTGAGCCCACGCTGGGATTCCCTTCACACCTTCCCATGTCACCAAACAGCAGGAACCCACAGGGGCTTTTGTTTCAGAAGAAATACCATGTGACTTAAAATCATTGAGACTTAATTTTGTGCTTTTAATGCCAACTGTGAAAAGAGCAGTAATTTCACTGTGAGCATCTTTAACCTTAAAATACACAGCTAAAGGGGAAATATTAATAGAAGGATTCTGCCTCCCTTCCTAACAAGTGCAAGGATCACAGGAGGCCTTCCCTGGGAAAGGGCGTCCTCCTAGAGCGCAGAGCCCAGTCAGCAAACAAGTTGCACGGTCCCCCTCTCTCTCCCGCTGATCCCTCTGCCTGACATGCCCTTCCCCAGCCTCAGCCCAAAGCCACCTGGGTGGCCTCACTGGAAGCCCCCTCCTTCTCCACACCCCACCTGCTGGGCGCCCACTCCAGGTTGGGGTAGGAAGGGGTGTTGGCAAACTCTGCTGAGCAGCTCTGCCCCACCTCCAAATGCGAGGCACCTGGCGGGAAGGCGTGTGCTGAGCTGGGGGCTCCAGCAGAGGCCTACTGAGTGCAAACGTCCACAGACGGCCTCGGCCTGGCCAGAGGGAGATGAGTGACAGGACTCAGAGGGAGCCGGTGAGAAGAGGCTGGAGCAGGCAGGGAGGAGCTGGGGGTGGCTGGGCCGGGCCTGCCCTCTGCAGGTGACTAACCCCAGCCCCAGTCCCATTTGTGCAGCCTCAGGCTCCGCTCTCAGGACACATTGACATGCAGCTCCCTGTGTGGTCACTGAGGTGGTACAACAGGGCGATCACAGTGGTCACCACCATCCTCCTTCCCCACAGTGGCTGCTCACTGCCAGCCACACTGCTGGGAAGCCGAAATTAGAGACTGTTTTACAGAAGAGGAAGAAGAGGGGATGACTTCCCAGCATCATGCAATGTGTGACAAGTGACCCAACCAGGCTGGGACCGCAGGGGCTTTGCTCCTTCTGTCCACACTCCCCAGACCCCCACAGCAGACATGCCGACCCTGGCCCCCTGTTCCAATGCTGGCCGTCCAGGACAAACAGGACAAGTCCAGGAAGGGCCGCACTGCACCATGTGGACAAGGGCGCCACGTCGAGGCTGGATGACACCCTGGGGGACTTGCCTCATCAAGACGAGCCTGGCAAGGGGCTTCAATGCTAAGGTAGGTGGCAGGCCAAGTGCCAGCTGGTTCAGCCCAGTGCATGCCCCTGGGAAGACGTGACCCCTTTGGTAATTCCCTTTCTAACGACCTGTCCCGAACTGCTTGGGAATATTAGGAAAACCTTGTGGGGAAGGCTGAGAAAGGCTGCCCTCCCCAACAGGGAGCCCAAGGATAGCTGCTGGACCCGGGCCGGGCCTGACTGGACCACGCAGGGAGAGGCTCTCCCGCTGCATGGGGAGGTGGATGAGCAGGGGAGAGGAGGAGGCATTGAGGAGGTGCAACAGGCTGGAAACCAAGTGGGCAGCGTCCCTGTTGGTGGGTATCGTTCCTGCTAAGTCCAGGGAGGAGGGCAACTGTCAGGCTGAGGACATGCCTGGAGTCCTGTACACCCCACTCTGAGGGCAGGCGGGAAAGGAAAAGGCCCGCCCTCTGCAGCAGCCCTCCTTCCTCTGCCCCATTGTGTCAGGGCCAGGAGGAGCAGGGGACTGCTCTGGGCCACCTCAAAGGTGGCTGCTGAGGAGGGCGGGGTGCAGCAGTGGGCCTGGCCGAGGCTGCCCGCCTGAGACTGAGGGCCATGGCTCGCTGCGGGGGAGAGCGCCTGCCTTGCTTCTGCAGTAGCCCCTCTGTCTGGGAATCAGACGAGACCGGGTACATTCAGGCTAGTATGGCCATAGATGCCCCAGATCTTTCTTTAGCCCAGACACTATGACTCCAGGGATGTGCCCTGCACCTCAGAATAACTGGAATCAAAATTGCACCCAGATATCCCCCCAACCCCCACGGCACCCTGCCCATCCCAGCCCAGCTCTGCCCCTTTCTGAAGCCAAGGAACCAGTTTCAACACAGGCAGGGCCCCTCCCCCTCCCTGGATGGCGCTGTCCTCCCCCCACCAGGCTGCATACATGCAGGTTCAGGGACAGAGCAGGTCCCACTGTGCTGCTGCCAAAGCTGAGCTGGCCTCTCAGAGCCTGGCACGAGGCAGGGGTATGGAAGGAAAGGCCCGGTCGACATATAGGTGTGCCCAGTCAGGGCCCATGGAGCTGCCAGAGGGACACTTCCAGGGGGCCCTGGGGCTGTCTGCTGCACCCCAAAATCTTGTTAGAGAAGAACCGTCAATTACCGCATCAGCACTCTCTCCCCTAGAACGCCTGGCCACAAAATGAGACTTGTTTTCCATGGGGTTGGAATCCGGGCTGGCAGCCTCTGCATGGCCTCTGCCTACATGCTGGTTTCTCCTCTCCTGTGTGGCACCACGGCAGGGCCAGAGAAGCCAGCCTTCCCCTGCCAGGCGGTGGCCCTCCTAGAGCGGCCCTCAGTCATGGAGCACCCCCTGCTGGTCACTGTGGGAAATCATGCAGCAAGTTGGACCCCGAGTGATGATTCAGAGGAAGACCTTGGAAATACTCTCCTGCAGATACCCCATGTTACAGGGAAGAAACTGAAGCACAGTGGCTGGAACAGAGCAAGGGCCCTACACATATACCAAATGAATGAATGAACAAGTGGGTCAGTGAATCGTAGCAAGAAAACAACAAATGATTCTTTAAAATATGACATAAAACCTGCTAAACAACCAATATTTGTCGAGTGCCAGCTCCAAGCCAGGCGCAGAAGGTGCAGTGGTGAAAATGTCCTTCTGGTGCGGCCATGGATAGGAAATCCTACTATTGACCACCAGCACATGCTGAGAGCCGGCTGAGCCCTGCGTGCAGACTGTCCCAGCCAAGCCACGCAGGTGATGAAACACAGGCTCCCATGGGCGACACTGCTGCCCAAGGCCACACACTGGTACGAGTAGAACCACTGAAATAGATGTCCTCACCACACCCAGATGCCCAGCAAGGACACCACCTGGGGCACAGCCACACTGGCCAACCCAGAGGCCACAGCACTCAGAGTACCCCCAGGATGGACCCCCCCCCCGCCACCCCGTATCCATCTATCATCCAGCCATCCCCTTTGTAACCCTCACAGGTGTCCCGGGCCTCCCTCTGGGCATTTCACAGACAATGAGCAGCACCTGGCAACCCTGTGATCCAGGGCTGGGGCTCACCACCCAGCCCCCATGAGGCTTGTCAGTACCACTGCCCCACTCATGGTGCACCCAGTGCTTGTTTGTTACAGAAAAGTCCACAGGGAGGACATGGTGTGTCCACCAGAACCCAGATGACCACAGAGCTTTCAAAATTGAGGCAGGGTTTGGTTGGCAAGGGCTAAAAACAAACAAAAAAAATCCCTCCCAGGCACCTTCATGAGCTAAATGTGAAAAGCAAAACTCTTATATTTTAGAGGAAAATCTGGCAGAATAGCTTCATGCACTCAGAGTAAAGAAGGATTCTCTTACACAGCATCCCCCAAAAAGCACCAAGGAAAAGACTGATGAAACTGACTGCATTATTCAAATGGAAAACTGCTGGACCAATGAATCAACAAACGGACAGTGAAAAGCCATGCAAACAGCCGGGAAATGATATTTGCCATGTGGGTAACCAACAAACGGTTGGGGTGCAGGATAAATGACACACTCCCTGAAATCAGTAAGACATGGAAGAACAACTCCTTGGCAGAATGGGCCGGGCCCCCCAGAAGCACTGGGCAGGAGAGAGCCCCAGGAGGCGCCAGGCAGAGGGAAGTTGTTCCTCCTCACCAGTCATTGGGGACAGCAAAGCCACACAACAATGAAATGCCACAGCACCAGGCTGGTGGCAAGGATGCGGCAGGCTGGCGGAGGCTGGGCGGGGAAGCAGTTGCAATATCCGGCCAAGCTGGGGTGAGGGTGCAATCTCAAGGCCCAGCGATGCCCTCCCACCCGACAGAGGGCCTAGGGGGACTCCCAGTCGCGTGCACCAGGAAGCCTTGAGCAGGAATGATCGCTGCGCATTCCTCCCACAGCCCCAGAGCAGAAACAGCTAATACGCCTGCCAGCCGGGCACAGGCGAGTGTATCATGATACCCTTAAACGCCGGAACAGCATGCAGTGGTGGAAAGAAATTAAATACAGCTCATGATAAGACATGGATAAATCTCAAAATTACAACACTACTTTTTTTAAGGTTTTTTAAGTAGCAGAGGGATACATACAGCAAGATCCATTTATATAGTTTTAAAATATGCAAAACAAGATTTATATATTTATAGTCTATATACAATCACGTCTATGGTAAGATATAAAGACATGCATTTGGGGGATACAGTCGCCAGATTATGGGTGGCTCAGGGGAGGGCAGGAGGGAGGGTGCTGGGTGGGGAGTGCTTAGACTTCATCTGCAAAAATCTCAAGCAAGTATGAAACATGGATGTAGACTGTTTAGATTTGGCAAAGCCGGGTGACAGTGTCTAATGTTCATTCATGGTCTCCATACTTCTCTGAATGCTTTCAATAGGTCACAGTAATTGTAAGAGCCCTGAGTGAGAGCAGTGGGTCCCTTCTCTCTTCATATCCCAAGAATAAGGGGACAAGAACCTTGCTCAGTGCCGGGGTTCCTGCGTGCTGAGTACAGTACATTCGTTTATTTTAGCCACAGCACTGGTCCCCCACTGGTCACCCCGATACCCCAGGAGCTCTCAACCCCCGGCACACGTGAGAATCATCCAAGGTGCGTCTCAGACACGTGTGCAGGCCCCCACTCCCAGAGACAGATCCCCTTGGCTGGGATAGGACTAGGAACACAGTGATCTTTTTAAAAGACCACAGGCCTACTGTGATCTCAACACCCAGCTGGAGGAAGACGTGCCTCAGAGGCCAGGCCACAGTCATGGGCCCTCAGGGGCTCTGCCCAGCCCCTGACCCCATAGCCATTTCTGTCTGGGCCTTAAGCTTCACACCAGTGCTCACACCTGGCCTTGAATGTCTATGCTACATCCTTTGCGCAGGGTGCTGTGCTATACATGTGGCTAACGTTTGCTCACTTCATCCATACCTCAGGCTCCTATCATGCCTCTTGGAACAAGCCCCTTGTTTGAAAATGCTCATTGCATCATGAGACCCAGCGGATGTCAATGTGACACGAATCTGAACCCTCTAGCTGCGCTTGGTGAAATGGCTGCTATCCTGGACGCCTCATCTAATTAGCAGGAGCAGTCAGGTAAGGGGGACCTCAGGTGGGGGGTGGGGTGACCCTCAGTGACTGTATGCAACCTTGCCTTTGGGGCAGGCCTTTTTTATTCCTCAAAAATGCGTTATAGCCAGGCGTGGTGGCTCACACCTGTAATCCTAGCACTTTGGGAGGCTGAGGCGGGAGGATCGCTCAAGGTCAGGAGTTCAAGACCAGTCTGAGCAAGAGTGAGACCCCGTCTCTACTAAAAAATAGAAAGAAATTAGCTGGACAACTAAAAATATATAGAAAAAATTAGCCGGGCATGGTGGCACATGCCTGTAGTCCCAGCTACTCGGGAGGCTGAGGCAGAAGGATCGCTTGAGCCCAGGAGTTTGAGGTTGCTGTGAGCTAGGCTGACGCCACGGCACTCTAGCCCGGGCAACAGAGCAAGACTCTGTCTCAAAAAAAAAAAAAATGTGTTATGGCATTTCACAAAAGAAGACATTTAAAGGGCCTCCCCTTTTAATCATCAGGGAAATACAAATTAAAACCAAAATAAGACACTACTACACATCCACCAAAATAGCTACAGTAAAGGACAGAAAAGATCAACTGCTGCTGAGGATGGACACCACCTGGAACCCTCATACACTCCTAGTGGGAGCGTAAACTGGCACAGCCATTGTAGAAAACCATTTGGTAGTACCTTCTGAAGGCTGAACATGAACCTACCCTATGCCAGCCATTCTACTGCTAGATGTATCTCAAAATAATGCATATGTGTATCCATAAATAGACATTTATAAGAGTGTTTATAGTGCTCTATTCTTGGTAGCCACAAGCTAGAGACAATTCAAACATTCATCAGCAACAGAATGGATAAATAAACAGTGATATACTCACATAACATGAATACCATACTCCAGCACAAATCAACAACAACCAGTAACAAATAATACACATGAATCTCAAAAATAGAATGTTAAGCAAAAGTAGCTAGAAGCAAAATAGTACCGGCTGTATGTTTCCATTTATGTCAAGTTTTAAAAGAGGCATAATCTATGGTTTTAAAATTTGCAGATACCGTTTACCATTGGGTGAGGGGTAGTACCTGGCATGGGGCACGTGGGAAGTTTCTGGAGGGCTGGTGATACTCTACATTTCTTGACCTGGGTAGTGGTTACACGGCATGTCCACTAAGTACAATTTAATCAAATGCTTGTTTATGATTTGTTCTTTTTAAATATATTTTGTACTTTCATAAAAAGTAAACTTTTAAAAAATGGTGCTCTGGCTGTGATCTGCAGCCTGGCACGTATGTGACCCACATGTCCGGCAGATCCACGCAGATGCAAGCCTACCTGAAGGAAGCAGGGCCAGGAGCTTGTACACTTTGTGCAGGTTCTCGCGGCAGATGGGGTTTGCGTCGTTCAACAGGAAGGACAGGGCACGGATGATGTCGTGCTTTAAAAGGCCGTCCCTAGGGAAAAGAGGTAGAAATGAGAACCTGCTGGGGTCTGCTCCATGCTAGCTGGGGCAGACCACCTCCTCTGGCTTTGTGGGAGCAGACGAAGGCCAGAGGTGGATGACACCTTACGGATCCTGAGAGGCCAGGGAGCAAGACAGTATGGCTTGTGTGGGGGCAGGAATCATACAGCTCTGCCTCCTCCTAGCTGGGACTCAGACTGAGGCCCTCTGTGCCCCTGGATCCTTACTGTCACTCTTCTGAGCCTCAGTCCTATCGTCTGTGAAATGGGAACAACAAGCGGAAGCTCAGAACCTACCTCCCTGAACCTCTAGGGGCAGGGGAGCGAGCTCAGCGCCTCACCGTCCTCATCACCCTGGGCCCCATGCCTACTCACGCCTGTTATGTCTGTTGCTATCCTCATATGCTAATTAAATATTAGGTAAGCCAACTAGATTAGGTATTTTCTTTCTTTTTCTTACGAGAAAAAGTTGAATGCTTGCAAAGACTCAAAAGTGAGTCTCTAAAAAAAAAAAAAGAAGTGAGATAATTATAAAGGATTCTAGAAGGTACTTTGCATACAGATGATTTCATTAATTTCATTAATTAGTCTTTGAGTTCTTGGTCTACTTTAAAGAAGCCAAAGCTGGCCGGGCGCAGTGGCTCACGCCTGTAATCCTAGCTCTCTGGGAGGCCGAGGCGGGCGGATTGTTTGAGCTCAGGAGTTCGAAACCAGCCTGAGCAAGAGCAAGACCCCGTCTCTACTAAAAATAGAAAGAAATTAATTGGACAACTAAAAATACATAGAAAAAAAAAAGAAGCCAAAGCTGCAAATCAGATGATGTTATGAGTGTGGTTTAAGCAAAAAAGATGATGGGAAATGCCAACCAGTGGACCCATATCCAAGAAAAGGCCTGGGCCCACACAGGGTTTGTGGGAATGCCTTATCATTTGTGTTCTGGGTTAAAATGAACTGTTTTCAAGGAAATATATCATTTCTTTATTTCTTTTGATTAATCAACTAACTGCTGGGCCCAAATGCATCTGAAAAGAGGGCTGCTGAGGTCACATCTCTCAGGGCTGGGTTTGGGAATAAATGAGAAGTCACGTGTGAAGCCCTTAGCAAGGTGGTACACAGGAGGTGCCCGGCCAGTTGTGCTGCAGTGGCATTGGTCGCAACCTAACCTTATGGTATGTTCTGAATCATTCTGGAAGAAGAAAATCACAGTGGGACACACGAGTTGCAGGGGCCTTCCCTGACTTCGGGGTCCTCCTTGGTCAGTTCCTAGTCACCCTATGTAACTCATGCTCTGAAAGCCAGTTCTGTTTGCCCACAGAGCATGTGCCCCCTTACCGGAGGCAAACAAAAGAGCAGAGGCCAGGCTGCCTAGGAAGCTGTCCTGCTTGTAGGATGTCCTATGAATTAACCCCTCAACGTGACAAGATGCCAAGCCCAGGACTGCCATCCTCACTCCTCCTTCCCGTCACTACTTGTGTGGGTAGAAGATGACTGAAGGGTTTCAACCTGGGAAATTCCGGGCAGTTACTTAGAGCTTGATGGGCTCCAAAAGCTGTTGGCTTTAGTTATAAGATCACTACTGAACTCTATGGAAATTTAAAAGTTGGCCACATTTCTGAGAACACTGAAGGAGTGTACAGGCCGTATCAGGTCCTTGGTCAGGGATGGTCTCTTCACCACGTCTCCTGCCTCACTAATGTGGGCACAGCGAGGACCCCTAGCCCAGGCTGTCCTGGTGCTGCCAAACAATCTCTGATCCCCCTCCCTAGGTATTTTGTTTTGTTATAATTGCTCAGGCTTCAAGGACCTCTCCTCTCAGCATGTGTCCCTGTTTCACTGGGGGTTACCTACTGTCCATATCAGGTCCAGAAAAGAGGGGGGCAACAACAGGAAGGATGAGAGATGCTTCACTCCTCTGTGCCCACAGGTTTGAAAGCACCTTCCCTGGGTCATCTCAGATAAGCAAAGTGAGTCTGGGATCATGAGTCTTGCCCAAGTCACAAAGTAGGAAACAGTGGGGCCCCCCAAGAGGCCAGGGCTCATGCCCCTATTCCACTGGTAGGTAAGTCCACAGTACTGGCCTGCCCTTTTGGTGAAAAGTGTGTGAATTAGGGCACCAACTGTGGCACCACCTCCCCACACATACCCTGTTCACTGCGCCCAACTGGGCAGGGGATGCATATGGTGTCAGGTGCCACGGCACCCAGAGCCTGGGGACTGGCAGGGCTGGGTGACTTTGGGTTTTGAGAGACACCCTGGCACTCTTCACATGATTTGAAGCCTCCCTGAATGGGTGTCTGTTGTTTACACCAAAGATGCCTGAAGGCAGTCAGCATCTTGTCCTTCCTGTCATCCTTCCTTCTCTCTGGGCCTGTGCACACTGGCAGTGGTCTCCTTTCTGCAGGAGACCTAGGGCAGGGCTTGGGGGTGTTAGTGATGTGCGGTTCTGTTTTTAACACAAGGTAAAACTAGTGACCCCTAGTCAAGCAGTGAGCTGAGCTGATGCGGGAAAGTACCTCCAACCCCTCCTCCCTCTACCGCCCTGACTCCTACCCAAAATGCTAGATGAAATATGTTTTAAGTATAAAATGCAAAGGAACATTTCCAGGTGCCAGAAACCAAGAACTTCAATGTCATGAGCAGAAGGTAAGGCCACCTGCCCAGACCAGATATGCACTTTGAGGCTGGTATTCTAACACAAGCATGGAGATAGGAGCCAAAGCCACAGGGCCTTGTGGAGGTCTGGGACAGAGAACTGGGCTCCCCATAAAAAGCTAAGAAAAAACAAAATTGTTGCAGATGCGAGATCTGAACTTTCTTTCCACCTTCAAAGTGGGAAGCTCAGAGATAGGAACTAACATAAAAATTAGTCTGCACTGGGTGTGGTGGCTCATGCCTGTAATCCCAGCACTTTAGGAGGCTGAGGAAGGAGGATCACTTGAGGCCAGAGTTCAAGGCTGCAGTGAGTTATGATTGCACCACTGCACTCCAGCCTGGGCAACAGTGCAAAACCCTATCTCAAAAAATAAAAAATAAAAAATTAGTATGGAACAGAAAGCCCCATTAGACACCCACAGAGGCAACCAAACCATCCCATGAAGAGGCCTGCTCTGGCCAAACAGAAGTCCTGCCAAAGACCACTCTACAGACAAAAATTCAGAGCATTCAAGGTGGTTTGAGGGCATCCACCCAGGGTGAGAAGTGTGGCTCCAAAACGTGACATTGGTTTGCAGAACAGCTGCCCACCTGCCCATGGTATGGATCGCCATGATGTAGAGCACCTCTGTGGCTTTTATCCGCACTAAGTCGTTGATGTCCTTCAGCAAAGCTTTCAGGCTCTCCAGGCAGCCTACAAGGCAAAAAACAAAAACAAAAAAACAACTTAGACTATTTGCCAGTCTCAGAAACCAACTAACCCAGAAGTCAACAGGTGAGCCAACGTTGGGCAATAACAAACTGGTCACGTGACCTTGAATGGGTTACAACCTAGGGAGGCCAGTATTAGCAAATAAAAATCCTGCTTTAGTCATTTATCAGGAAACCCTAGATTCACACCCATTCCCTGAACCTCATTTTCTTATGTGTTGGTTGAGGGATGCTCCCTCCCTTGCAGGTGGCCACGATGAGGACTAAGGTAACCCAGGCACTACACTTAGGGTAGCTGGCCCAGGTCAGGCTCAACCAATATCAACCCATATATTATAACTGAAGTTCCACCCAGTGTCTGAAGCCATGCTAGGACCTTAGTCATGGTTACTCGGGCTGTGACGCTCTCACCTATGTCGATGGCCTGGTAGACATATTCGGGGTCGTGCATGAGGTCACACAGGGCCATGAGGGCTTTCTGCCTTGTCGTCAGGTCCTCTGACCGCAGCTCCTCATTCAGCTTTGGCAGGGCTCGATGGCCATAGGCAATGGAAGCTTTGGTGGGTTTGGTGTCTGGGGGCAGGTGTGTGGAGATCGGGGCTTGAGCCATCTTTTCACACCTGCAAAAGGCTTTCAAAATGAAGCTCTGCAGAAATCACTAATTAAAAGAACCAAAAAAAAAATTGTTGTAATTACTATTGTAATTTAGAAGCTACTTCTCATCTGATCTTCAAAACTGTGAGGCCAGGTGGGTGGGTATTTTTACTTCCATTTTACAGATGAGCAAACTGAGGCTGAGAGCAAAGAAGAAACTTGCTCAAGATCATAGTGAAGGTAAGTAGCAGCCCAAACTGCAAACTCTAGAGTTCTCCCATGCAATAGTGTTTAAGAAACCACTAATACTTTACAGGCTGGGTCTTCAGTCAAAGGCATTGAAAGGACAAAGCAAACCAAACAATCAAACCCAGAGATAATCACTCCATTAAATGCTTATCTTGTGCCAACAATAACTAGTATCCAACTTAACTATCCCATACAGAGGGGGCTTGTATTAACCATATTTTACAAATGAGGAATCTGAGGTTTGGCCAAGGAGCTAGCTGGAGACCACAGAACTGGTTAAGACAAGGGGCCAACGTTCAAATCCAGGTTTAGCTCATTCACCACCAGGGACCCATATTCAGATATTTCCAATACATCCATGAAAGGAATTAAGGTTAAAGGGTGATTTATTTTTATTCCACACACACTTTGAGCAACTATAGGCAGTATCGGTTAGCAGTTAAAAGAACTGGCTCCAGACTCAGGCCTTGGGTGGCCCTTGACAAGTTACTTCCTCTGCAAAGGGGAGGTGATGACAGTACCTCCTTCCCTCCCTCCCCGAGTTGTCATATTAATGAAACACGTGAGCCTGGCATACCAGGTCTCCAGATATGTTGGCTGTGGTTATTATCATGGTTGTTATGCGTTTAGTCCTATGTACAGGCCCGGGCCCTACAGGAATCCTACTCTAGTAGAAGGTGAGCGGTACGCTGACACCGGGCACCAGAGGACAAGGGGAGGAGGGGGCCGGGCTAGGAGGGGCGCGGCCATATCTGATTCGAGCTTCCCTCACAGGGGAGGGTGGCTGCCAGGGGCCAGGCCTGCCTTCCTCTAACAGGCGTGGACTGCGGGAGTCCCAGCGGGAATGAAAGAGAGTGACTTGGGGCGTGGAGACATGGGCCACGTCTGAGCGGGACTGGGTAAGTCACTGGGTCCCCCTGTCCCCGGCCGCCGCCTCACCTGCTTCAGCACGCGTTTTTAGCACCCGTTGGCCGGTAGCGCGCGCCCGTTGCCAGGTGACCTTGTTGCCAGGCGACCACGGCAGGCAGCGTACGCTGTGCCGCGCTTTACACACTCGGCGCCCACAGCGCAGGCGCCAACGGCCCTAGGCTGGGGCCGGCTGCAAAGTGGGAACAATAATACTTAACCCGGTTACTGTGGGGAACAAAGACGTCTTGGCTTTGTTCAAGGTACAAAAGAGAAGGGTAGTGACTTATTTATGGCTTTCTCTGTATTGGATACTTTGCGCATGTCTTTGACCCTCAGAGTAAACCCATGAGACGGTCACATTATCCAGTTTAGGGACAAGAACCTCAGAGAGGTTCAGTAGCTTCCCCCATTTCACACAGGCCTGATCCCAGGACTGCCTAGCCCTGGCCTACGCTCCTTGCTCCGCAGGCTGACTGCGTGGTAATGACAATGGTCGGCCCCTACAGTGGACCCAACGCACAGCTGGCCAGAATGGTGGTTCTCAAAAGCAAGCCAGACCCAGCCACCACCGACATCAAACCCTCCCGTGGTTCCCCACTGATCTCAGACTTGGGTTCAACTCCTAGCCTGCTGTCAAGGTCCTGGGTGGTGGCCTCCTCCAGCCATGCTGGACTCTCTCTCAATCCCCCAAATGGCCAGTTCTCTCCCACAGCCTGAGCTGCCTGTAACACTAACTACCTCTTTGTCCTTCAGCATGCAACTTGGTGAACACTTCCTCCATGAAGCCTTCCTCCTCCCTGAAGGAGTGAAGGACATGCCACCCCAAAACATGCTGGACTGATGATGTATTGATTATCTTGAATTGACAACACAGGAGAAATTGCAGTTTCAGAAAGGGCTGGCTGACCTGTCTCCTCCTGCATGTAGCAAGCCATAAAAATTCCTCTGGGAGGGGTGCCCTCCCTGCACCATGGCAGGAAAACAGCCCTTATCACCAGAGACTGAGCACTGGGGGCTTCAGTGGACCTGAATAAACACTCGCCAAAGTAATCCTTATCTTCCACTAGTTTTCCACCCCCTCACATATCTCCTAGTTGACTCCCCTAGCAATTTACTGTCCCCAGGCAGATTTTCTTTCTCCGGTCATCTCTGAGCTTAATCCTCCCCTCTCCTAAATCCCACGGGCACACCTCCTAATTCTCCATTTACTTCTCTATTTCCTCCAGCAGACTCCAACTTACCCAAGGGTGGGCACCCGGTCGGTTCTGTTTCCTTGCCTCCCCAGTGCCAGGCACATATCAGGAAGCTTTCAGTCAATGTAGAACACATGTGTGGTTAATGGACTTGGATCAAGTTTTACAATCTAAAAGCACTTTCACCATTTCATGTGAATCTCACAACAAACTTTTGAAGTGGTTAATCAGGTCCATTTTGTAGCTGAGTAGACTGAGTTACCAGAGGTGAAGCAGCTCACCTAAGTTCACCCTCTAAGCCTGCGACCTTTGGAGCGAAACTCATTAAAAGGCATCAAATAGCAGCCTCTAGCACATTTGGCTTTGAACTGAAGATGACTGACTGAGATCTGTGTACCAAGGATCCCATATTGTGATACAGAGAAATAAGACAGCCGAACCAAGTAGGTTTTCAAAGCTCAGAACCCCAGAGGACCTCTCTGAATCTGGTTCCACGGTTTTATAAGGGTCTCTGGAGGCCATCTAGCCTCACATACCTCACTGTCCAAACAGAAAGTAGCTCAGAGGAGCTCAGTGACTTGGGTCAGCTTTTCCATAGCCATTAATTAAGGAAATCAATTTTGAAGCATGAGCTCTAGAAGCCAGGCATGTGATATTCAGACAACATCGGATTCAGAACCACGCAGATTAGGGCCGGGTGTGGGGGTTCATGCCTGTAACTCTAGCACTTTGTGAGGCCCAGGCGGGAGGATTGCTTGAGGTCCGGAGTTCGGGAACCGTGCAGATTAAGGTCTGTAGGTGGTAGACATGTCCATCCCTTGCCGCTGCAGGGTGCTTGACTCCAATACTACAGCCATAGCTCTTACACCGTGACTGCCACCACTGATCCGAGTCTAGGGGCGCCAGAACCGCGAATCTCTGCACCGTCAGCCCCGCACAGAGCCCAGCCTCCACCCTCTGGCCTCTTGGGCCCGCCCACTCCCCTATCCAGCACCGCCCTTGTTGTCATGGTGATCTCCGGCATTCCGGCCGCTCCGCTCGAACTTCAGGAAGGTTCTCGTTGCTATAGTGATCGTCAGTGCAAGGGGCGCGCGGGACTCTTTCTGCTGTAGTCCCGCCCAGACCCCGCCCCCAACGTCCGCGATCCGTCAGACGTCCGCCGGTCCCGCGTGCCCCTCGTTGCCATGGTGATTGCCGCCGCAGGCCTTGGGCAGACCAGGCCGCGCCGAGCCCCCCGCCTTGGCAGCTGCAGCGGGTGAGTCCGCCCGCCCCCTCTGTCGGAGCCTCGGCTTACCAGGCGCGGCGTCCCGGCTGCCGGAGTCGCGAGGGCGCCGCGTCGCCCGCACGCTGCCCACCCGCAGAACCTGAGCGCGGCCGCCACATTTGCTGAGCTCACGCGTCGCCGGGCCAGGCCTGCGCAGGTCCCTGAGGAGAGCCGGGTCAGATGCGGAGGACGACAGCAGGCCTTGGCCAAGGCCCCCCGAGTGCGCAGAAGGGCCCGACAGGAAAAGGAGCGGCTGAGCAGGCTTGAGGGATCAGACGCTGGGAGGGCCGAGGGCTGTCAGGGAACAGGCTGACGTCTAAGGCCCCCGGGATTCACCCGGCTCCTCATCCTTGAGAGAGGAGGAGAGGGAGGCCTGGATCTGTTTTTAAAGCTGGTGAGAAGGATTTGCATAGCTTCCTAACTGGCTCTCTCCCCTCGTTGTGTCCATAGGATTCTGGAAGAATGAGGTCCTCCCTGGCTCCTCTGGGGCTCCCTGTGAGCCGGGACCGCGTCATCGCCAGCTTCCCTAAGGTAGAGAGTCGTTATGTCTGCACTGCTCTCCTGACGCTGCGGCCACCCCAGCTCTACCCAGTTTGCACTTGCCCCCAGAAATAAGGAGGTCTGTCCCTCGTCAGATTTACCAGGCTTCTCCTTGAGAAGCCGTGACAATGGACATTGACTTAACCAAGGCAGGCCAGCAAGTGGATGGTGACACCGGGCGGGTGCCGGTGTGGCATGGAGGTTTATAAGGGTGTGGGCTTAGCAGTCAGAGAGTCCTGGGTGTGAGTCCTGATTCCATCATTAAGCTGTGTGTCCATGGGCAAGCGGCTCGGCCTCTCAGACTTGCTACGTGAGGGTAATTCCATGGTAAACAGAAGCTCCCTTGCAGTCATGGCGGCTGTTGTTCTCATTATCATTACTGCCGTCAGCATTCTAGTCAGCATTCTAGTCTCCTGAGCCCAAATCTGGGGCTCTCTCCCTTTGCCATTCTGCCTTCAATTTCTGCTGAAAACTCATAGCTCTTTTCTGTCTTTATTAAAATCCACTGTTAATTGCAGCAGAGGATGCAAATCAGTGCAACCTCCGCAGGGGGCAGTGGGACAATATTTACCGACATCGCAGATGCCCCTGCTCTCTGATCCAGCCATTCCATTTCTGAGAATTTGCTCTGTGGTTACCCTGGCATGGGTGTGCAGTGCACAAGGACAGGTGTTGCAGCAGTTTGTAACAGCAGATCAGACCCGATGTAAATGTCCGCTGAAAGGAGGCTGGTTAAACAAGTAACGCTGTTCCTGGCACGGACGCGAGGAAGAAGGGGGCACCTCCTCGGGGGCTGCCGTGCAGTGACAGCCAAAGTAAATTGTTAAGCAGAAACGCAAAGAGTGGAGCAGTGCGCCGTAGAGCGTGTGTAGCACACTCCCATGTGTCAGAACAAGGAGGGGGAGGAAGAAATGTCTGTGTTTGTTTATACACGCAGAAAATATTTTTGAAACAATACATAAGCCCATACAATCAGCGGTTGCCTCCATATGGCTGGGGCCAGGCAGAGAGAGAGCCTCTCCATGGAATGAATGGTCTTTTGTATCATTGGTCTTTTGGATCCTGTGCCCAGGCTGGCGAGGAGGAAGTGACCATAGACCCTAGGTATTTGGGCTCTGTGGCCATTCCTCCGTCCCCCGTCGTTACCTTCCTCCCTAAGTTCCTTCTTCGCACAGCCACAGAGGAAGCCTTTGTGTCTCATGTCTGTGAACAATTCCCTCTGGACTTCCCATCTCAGCAGAGGCCCAGGCAATTGACAGTGTAACTAGGGATGATGGAGACTGGTGTTTCATGAACCAAAAGGAAGGGAAGCATGATTGACACAAAACAGTTCAGGTCTCACGGGACAAAGGACCCCACTGACAGAGGGGGACAGTGAGGATCGGGGAGGTAGGGAGGGGGTGCATGATGTCACACAGCTGGGCATGATGGAGCTCGGATCTGACCTGGCTGCATCTGGCTCCAGAGCTCCCTGCCCCAGGGAGGCAGCCTAGGGCATCCATCCTGTTTGCCGAGAAGGTGAGATTCTCCCCTCCTGCCTGTAGGACTCAGGGGTCACAGGCCACTGTTGGCCACCTTCATCCTGCTTCCCAGGGCCACACCACTTCAGACCTGAGAAATTTGTGGTCAGGTCGGGCTAGGTCTATAGTGTGCTGTCTGGGAAAGTCCTTCCCTTCATTCAATGTGCCTCAGTTTTCCTGTCTCTAAAATTGGCTCACACTTCTATCCTGCAGCCTTCCTTACCACAATTCTCTAGTTAGTCCAGAACAGTGAGATTCCTCTAATGGCCACTGTGTCTGGGCCTGCCCCCAGCTCAAAGCTGTCATAGAAGTTGACAGGAAAAATCAGCCAACTTTTTCCTAAGGTCGCTGATGCTCTCCTGCACAAGAGTAGACTGCTGGGCTAAGCTGCTCACCTGCATTATTCAGTTACTCCTCCAAAGACCACATGAAAGGGTGCTGTATGAGCATCTAGTTTTACAGATAAGGAAACTGAGGCCCAGGGAGGTTTTGTAATTTGCCCTTTGCGAAGCTCCTTCCACAGTCCCTGCTGCCTCTATCACTGCTGGAGCTGAGAGGGCAGCTGGGCCGTGGCAGAGCCCAACTGATGCCCCCAAACCTGGAAGAGACACTAGGGCTGGGTAGGAGGGCTGTGGATGGAAGCAGAGCCCAGAGAGACAGAACAGGTGATGGAGGGACCATTGCGGTACACAGATCACACCAGCAGCCTCTCCCCACATCCTTGCCACATTCCATACTTAGCCTTGGCCAATCTCATGGCAAAAAATAACTGTCATCTTTAATTTGTTAGTATCATATTTTTTTAATTATAAACAAATGTGGGCCAGGTGTGGTGGCTCATGCCTGTAATCACAGCACTTTGGGAGGCCAAGGCAGGAGAATGGAGGATCATTTGAAGTCAGGAGTTCAAGACTAGCCTGGACAACATAGTGAGACCTTGTCTCTACAAAAAATTTAAAAATTAGCCAGGCATGAGGGTGCATACCTGTAGTCCCAGCTACTTGGGAGGCTGAGGTGGGTGGATCACTTGGGCCCAGGAGTTCGAGGCTACAGTGAGCTACGATTGTGCCACTGCACCCCAGCTGTGTGACAGGGTGAGACCCTGTCTCAAAACAGAAACAAAAAATGTGCATGCAACACCTGTGATGACGTGTTAATAGCCACGGACATTATCGAGCACTTAGTATGTGCCAGGCCAGCTCTGTGCTGATGGCTTTACAAACATTGTCTCGTTTTATGCCCTCAAGTCTCTAATGGGGAAGTTAAAGTTCGGAGAAATCGGGCAAAGCAGGTAAGGGCGGTGGACTGTGTGCAGTTCTTCCTGACCCTGAGCCTAGGCTCCTAAACACTGCTCTGTCCCACCTTGCCAGAAATGCGGAAGACAGAAAGTGCCTCCTAGGACATTTTCCAGACACGTGTATGCATATTTTTTAAACAAAAATGGCATCAGAGATCCATAGACAGTATGGGAGGATCTGGGAACCAAAGAGCCCTCGTTGTCCCCTCTTGCTTTATCCCAAGAGGGCTGAGGCCCAGAGAAGGCAGCAGCCTGTCACATGTATGCAGCAAGGGGACAACCCCCCAGGGGAGACCCAAATCTCCGAGTCCCCACCTAGGCACTTTGATCTGGCCTGGCTCCTCTGGACTCCCAAGACCCCGGAGCCTCAAGGACAGACATGACGGGGTGGGGAAAGCTAATGAGGCTGCCAGCCACAGGCTCCAGAGGGAAGGCTGGGAAGTAAGTCACCCCTCGCTGCCCAGCTCCGGGGATGGAGCCACAGCTTTGCAGGATGATGTTTTGGTCTGTCTGTCTGTGTCTGTCTCTTTGCAGTGGTACACACCTGAAGCCTGCCTGCAGCTCAAGGACCACTTCCATGGGCAGGTCAGCGCGGCCTGCCAGCGCAGGAACACGGGGACTGTCGGGTGAGCCCTGGGGCATTGGATTGGGGACAAGAGGGCAGGAAGGAATGAGCACATGAATGAATGTGTGAATGAAAGAATGAACAAATGAAACGCTTACACAGACCAGGCCAGTGCAACCCAGTATAGGCCTGAAAACAGCTGGGCTTTTTATCTGGCTTCCCTTGACACGCCTCTGCCATATGGAACAACTTTCCTTTTTTCCAGCAAGTCGTGCAGGTGATTTTTCAGCCTGGGGTCTCCACACAGGTTCATTTCCTCTGTCCCTTTCCCCTTGAGGTCTCAGCATAAGTGTCAGGTCCTCTGGGAGCCTTCTCTGACCCCCCACAACCACTGTCCCCAGCCTGGGCTGTGTGCTCTTGTGCCCCAAGAACTCACCTCACAGAATTGGAGGTTTACTTGTCTGGATGCCTCACTAGACCTAGCCAGAGAGGACTCCTGCCTCCAAAGCACCTGCCACCACCTGCCACCACCAGCCACCACCAGCACAGGGGTTTGCAGCACTCGTTCCTTTTAACAAACAGGTACGAGGGCCTGCTTTTGCCCCTCATCTTGAGGGGCTCACAGTCTGCTCGAGGAGTTGGCTGAGCTCACAGGTGCCACACAGTGTGGTGAGGCTGGAAGACAGCCCAGCTCAGAGGTCCCCAAGGCTGCACAGAGTGAGGCAGCACTCAGGTCAGAATGGCCAAAGGGGCTGTGATCATGGGATGAGAGTGACAGCACCAGCTGGGAGTGCTGGTGCCACATCTGGTGCTGCATGCAGATCATCTCCCTGACACGCACAACAGCACTGGAGGTGGGGAAACTGAGGCACAGAGGGCTCCTGCCTCAAGACCTTTGCCAGAACCTTTACTCCTTCCTCTGAGAAATGGGGTCAGAGCCAGCCTGTTCCAGAATGAGCGAGCTGCCCAGGAGCAGGGTAGACACAGCCCTTGCCCTCACAGACATGGCAAGGTGAACTGCAGGCCAGGTCACTGGGTGACACAGAGATACCCTCTTGTTGTCTGCAGGCAGAGGAAGTGCCTGTCAGCTGTTTACCCAGGTTGGTTGCTGCAACTGTTGAGCTCCTTTGGGATGAGTTGCAGAAAGTCTTCAAGTCTAAGTCCCAGGAAGCTGGGCGTGGTGGTGCTCACCTGCAGGCCCAGCTACTCAGGAGGCTGAGGCTGAATGGTCACTTGAGCCCAGGAGTTCGAGACCAGCCTGGGCAACATGGCGAGACCCTGTCTGCAAACAAACTGGTCCCAGAAACGCTGCTGCACAGAGTGCAGGATGCACACACAGTGAGGCTGGTGGCTGCTCTCAATGAGCAGTGTCCCCAGAGAGCCCAAAAACTTCAGAGCCAACTTGCCTCAAGCCACAGCGCAGATGTGTCAACGCTGAGTCCTGCCCGTGCTGTGCCCCTTGGCCTTTCTGACCCTTCGGACACCTCCAAGTGAGCAGGTGACAGTGGTGTCCTAGTCAGGGAGTGCCTGCTTGCAAGGAGCCAGAGCCCAGACAGGCACACAGCCCCAGGGTGCATGTAGGAGTATGCAGGGGCTGCCCACCCACCCTTGCGCTGGTGCCTCCCTGCACATAGGCCACCTGTCTGCACTCTCAGCGTAGCTCCCCCACCCTGGACGTGACCATGGCTCTCGGTTACCACAGCCCACCTTGGGCTTTTGCCTCTGCCCCCTCGGCCTGTGACTCAGCCTCTTGTCATGTCCACCTCAGTACTGGGACTTTGGCCAAGTGGGATCTGGGGTATACCCCAAAGGCATCAGAGTCCCCAGAACAAACCCAGGCTCTCCCACCCTCCCCTCTGAGGGCCAGGGGGTTGAGGGACAGAGTGTCTCAGCAGGGTGGCCTGTCCTGTATCCAGGAGCTCAGGAAAGGAAGGGCCTGTGAATGTCCAAAGACCTTGCCTGAGAACAACATGGATGTTTCTCCCACAGGCTCAGACTCTCCAAGGTGGTTGTCGTTGGCGATCTCTATGTGGGGAAGACGAGCCTCATCCACAGGTATGCAGCTCCCTAGGCCCCATCGGCTACACCTCCCAGCACCAGGTTGTCACATCTCTGCCTGGGCAGCACAGATGACGTTGTCATAGTGGGAACCGTGTGGCTGCCACGAACCACTGTGCCTCAGCCTGGTGGGAGCCAGATGGGAAGGGGTGCAAGAAATTAGGGAGATGGTAGGGTTGGGCAGACAGTAGGGCATCCTAGGAGGCTGGCATTTGTCACACTGTCCCCCTGGGGCTATGGGCTTGACCCCCCATGAATGGATACTCAGTTTCACTCAGTTTCTAAATGCAGTATTTTCGGGGCTCTTGCAGCCTCCCTTCCCGCACACCGTTCTTGGTGGCTGCTCTGTCTGTCCATGGCCTCGTTGGGCCATCATTTCCTTGTCACTCCTATATTGGTGGACCGCATTTGGCTCCAGATTCACGCTGTCCTGAGCGAAGCTTCCGTGCACCTTTCTGTGAGGACACTGCTCTGATGCCTTCCCCGCCTCCCACAGGTTTTGCAAGAATGTGTTTGACCGAGACTATAAGGCCACCATTGGGGTGGACTTCGAAATCGAGCGCTTTGAGATCGCAGGGATTCCCTACAGCCTCCAGATGTAAGTCGCTGGCTCTCCCGTGGCTTGTGGGTGGGCTTCCTGGAGACACCCGGGAAACCCTGGGGAGCTCCTCCTCCACTGCGCCCCATGGTGCTGCTCAGTGAGGACCTGTCTGGACAAAGCAGACTTCCCGGCTCCCCGAGTCCCTGGAGCCCCCCTGGTCCCCACAGTTGTCATCACATCTGGGGAAGGTCCTCACAGGCTGACCTGCCCACCCACCCCCAACCTCCCCTGGTGCCCCCACCCCCTGCCCAGGCTCAGGCCCATCCCCCTCAGACCTCCCATGATCCCACTTTCCAGGCCAGTGGGGAGTTAAGTCCCTTCTGAACTCTGAGCCTCTGTCCCCACCTGCGAAGTGGGGTCAAATCCAGTCCCTGCGTGCCAGGCTCAGGCAGGGAGGGCCCAGTGGAGGCAGCGCTGTCCACAGCCTTCTTCAGGCCTGACATACTCATCTTCCTCCTCACGTCACTGCCCTGGCTCCCGGTCCCCCACCTTGCTTTCCTTCCACCCCTGTCTGTCTGTCTGTCTTCTTCCCTGCCAGCTCCAGGCACCTGCCTCTCAGTGGTCCACTGGCTTCCTCCCCTCCCGCTGCTTTCTTTCCCAAGGGCCCAGGCCTCCCCCCAGGGCTCACCCTGTCCCACGCTGGCTGGCACCTTGCTCTGCGCCTGATCTGCCCCCTCCCCCAGAACCTGGAGGATGCACAGGCGCCAGACCTCATTCTCCCTAGGGGCCCCTCCCCTCCCTATACTCTCCTCCGTGGCTACCCCTGTTCCCCCACTTGCCTGCTGGCAATCGCCAGGCCTCTGTCCTGGTCCCCTTCCCCTTCTGTCTCCCAGAGTCCTTCCTCAGCCTTCTGGCCCTGCTTGGGCTGAGCCCGCGGCAACTCTGGACTTGAGCTCCTGACTCTGTCGGGACAGCGCCCCCATAGCTCAGGACCTCCACAGCCCCTGCGCTCCTGCAGTCAGGGGATACCAAATCTTGCCCGAAGGAGAGCGCAGTGTCAGTCCAGAGCAAAAGAGGCTGTGAAAACATAGGGCCTCAGGACGGTGGCAGCTGGAGAGCTGGGAGAGCAAGTGCCCACGGGGGAAGCCTGGGGGGAGTGAGAGAGAGTGGCATGTGGCCGGGCTCCCCATTGCGACCACAGGCTGTATCTCATCAGAGGGCCCAGGACAAAACAGGGACACCATCCCGGCTCAGCCTCTTGTCTGATGTTGAGGCCGTTACCAGCCTCCCAATGGGCCCCACCCCCAGCTCCTCCCCCCAGAGTTTTCTTCAGAAATGAAAGAAAATAGCAGTCAATTAATAAAAAAATGAAGCCTGCAGAAAAAGTTCTACATCATGCTGGATCCCTTGAAAAAGATTGCAGACCATCGATATCTTGTTTGTGGTTTATCTACTTTTCAGTTTACTGAGAAAAATTAAATTCTGATCTGTTTACTTTAAAGTAGGGTGGATTTTCAGACTCATCCCTGCATATTGAACACCTGCCTTGTTCGAAACCGGGGCGGGTAGATCTCAGCATGTGGGCCTTTCCCTCTGCTAGACTATGCCCATGGCAGGCATCATTAATCAACTGTTGCATTCTTTTCCATTGGATCCAGGGCTCCTAAGTCCTTCTCAACAGGGTATTCCAGAGAGCTGGAGCTGACTGCTCAGAGTCACCTGTTGGTGCCCCTGTTAGGGACCTGGGACCAGCAGTGCAGAAGGTGAAGCACTGCCCCCATCACACACAAGCAAGTGGCAGAGGCCCAGCCTGGAGCCCCAGTGCCATTCACAGAGTCTCCTCTGCAGGTGGTTGTCCACATCTTTAGAGCAAGTCACATCATGTGCCATATGCTCCTTTTTTTTGTAGGGACAGGGTCTCTCCCTGTCACCCAGGCTGGAGTACAGTGGTACAGTCATATGCAATCATAGGTCACTGTAACCTTGCAAACTTCTGGGCTCAAGGCATCCTCTGGCCTCAGCCTCCCAAGTAGCTAGGACTACAGGCACATGCCACCACGCCTGGCTAATTTTATTTTAATTTTTTAATTTTTATAGAGACAAGGTCTCACTGCATTGCCCAGACTGGTCTCGAACTCCTGGGCTCAAGTGATCCTCTGGCCTTGGCCTCCCACAGCTCTGGGACTACAGGCGTGAGCCACCATGCCAGGCCCATATACTCCTTTTTAGTATCCCAGCCAGAAGAGACTGAGCTGCAATTCCATTCATCCAGGCAGTGGAACTACTAATGCCATAACCCCCTGCCCCTAGGCACTGTGACTGCAGTGAGAAAAGAACCCCCACACCCAGGCACCCAGGAAAGGATCATGAGGACCTGGGGGCAGGGATAGAGGGTCACAGCAGACACTTCCTGAAGCTCACACACTGGCGTGGGCCCCCAGGTCTCCCACCTACAGTCCCACTCGCCTGTTGGCTCAGAACCCTTTGATCGCTTAACCTGCCACCGCTTTCCCTTTCTCTGTCTCCCACTGCACAGCTGGGACACAGCCGGGCAGGAGAAGTTCAAGTGCATCGCATCTGCCTACTACCGGGGTGCCCAGGGTGAGCAGCGTGTGGTGTCGGGGCCCTCAGCCACGTGCAGCAGGGGCTCCCTGCTCGGCTGCACAGCAGGAAGCCCAGGTCCTCTGTGCAGCCACCAGTTTTCTGGCCTCCAAGAACTGCCGAGAAAACACTGGGCTGCTGTTTGGGGACAGGGATGCTGCCTTCACGCCTGGCTGGCTTTGGCAGCCACATCCTTTGGGGACCCTGTGGTGGCGGGTGCTAGCTTTAAGTCTCAGCCCCAGTTATCAGCTCAGAAAGATCCCGAGAGAGGGAAGTACTTGTCCAGAGGCCCCAAGAAGGAAGAGCCGCATCGGACTCCCGGGGGTGGGGAGAGGCTTGTCCTGTCTCAGCAGCAGGGTGCTGGGCCAGAGAGGAGGAGTGACAGGGGGACCACGGGAGGACTGCCAGGTCCCTGGTGGGGGCCAGTGGGGCTTGGCATCCCCCACCTCCAGGGCCGAGGGCAGCCCGGGCACTGGGCAGGGCTGACGGTGGCGGGAGGCAGCAGTGTAAGCTCCTCTGCTGGCTGGAGCTCAGTGGGAGATGTGAGAGAACTGCCAGACGCATCCAAAACCAGACTCAAATTACAGGGTGCCATTATGTCTACTCAGTAGTAGTAAGAAAAAAAATCATAACACCTTCATTACGATTTGAAAGAAGCAAAATCAGGAAACAAACCATGAGCGCCTCGCCGTGGGTTGGAGCTCAGCCCTGCCGTGGCTGCGTGGCCTCCTGCACCCTCGCGGCCTCTCTCTTCTGGGAGAGGGGCTGCTTCTGTCCTGGGCATGAGGCGTGAGGCTGCTGTCATCCCTGTCCTTCTGCCTCAGGAGCGGACAGGGCTCTCCTGCAGCCTTCAGCCAAGTGCAGAGGAAGCCCCTGTCCAGCCCCGCTCACGCCCCTGGGGGGCAGTAGAGAGCAGCCATTTTCCTGGAATGTCCTCCCCCCCTGCACTCCCCGAAAACCCCAACACCACAGGATCTGAGGGTGGGGACTGTATCATTTTCTGCCCACCCAGCTCCACAGAAGTTTCCTAAGCTGGTTGTTGCTAATCATCACCACAGCCACAGCTGCCATTTGTTGAAATCGCCCGAGTCAGGTCCTGGACTATTAGCTTTTGAAAACAGCCACTCGTTTAATCCTCACAGCAGCCCTGAGAGCTAGAGGTATCATTCTCACCATTTTACAGAGGGGGAAACTGAGGCTGTCAGCAGTTAAGGCCTTCACCCGAGCTCCCTTAGTCGTAAGTGGCAGAGGGTCTCTGACGCCAAAGTCCACGTGCCCCGTGCCCCGTGCCCGCCTCATCCGCCCTCCCTGGGTTCTGCCCTGGGGCCAGGCTGCTGGGCACAGGTCAGGGAGGGCGGTATGGAGGTGGGCCTGGGAGGCAGCCGTGGGGTACCTCCTCCCCAGACTCCATCGTGGGGTCTGGTGCTGAGTGCCTGGGGGCCGCCCTGGCAGTTCCTCAGGAGCTCAGCTCCTCCTGGGCCCTCCTTTGACAAAGAGCCCCCCTCTGTCACACTGTGTTTGCCTCACCTGTGGCTGATGGGCTGCTGACTTTTTCCGAGTGTCCAGTGATCATCACAGCCTTCGACCTCACTGACGTGCAGACTCTGGCGCACACCAGGCAAGTCTGGCGCTGCGGCCCCTGCGCTTCCCCCCGGTTCAGCAAGCTGCCTGACGGCTCCCTGACCCTCGCCCATGAGTGCAAGGCCAGCATGGTCGTGCTGGGGCACGTGCTCCAAAGAGCCCGCGCTCGCTTTAATACTCTGCTGTCACCATCTCGAAGTCCTAATAATTTTTGAATGAGGGGACCCACATGATCACCTTGCTCTGGGCCCTGAAAATGTTTTGGCCAGTCTAGTCTGAAGGGACATGAACTTGGCACCTGCTTGTGCAGAGAGAACTGGCAATGTGACCAATTCTGGGAGGCCATCGTGCTTCTGCCGGGAGCCGTCCAGCTGATGGACCCAAAGCCTTCTCACCTTACCTTTGTCTGGGGCATTCGCATCCAGTAGCTTCCAAACCCTATGAGGGAGGCGGGTGTGATCACTCCGGTTGATAAAAGTGCAGAACTCACCCAAGGTCTCACCGAGTGCGGGCAGAGCCAGGGCCAGGGTGGGGTCTTCAGCGCCCCTGACCGGTGCTCTCATAGTCCCACCTCCTCTTGTCCAGCCAGGGCCCTTCTGTGGGACCAGCGTCCTGCTCAGCCAGTGTGGGCCAGGGCACCCTCCCTGCACCTCCCGGCCCAATGGTCCCAGCCCTGGGGGGTGGGTGGGTGGGTGGCGTCTCTCAGCCTGTCTCCCCTGCGCACTCCAGGCAGTGGCTGGCGGACGCACTGCGGGAGAACGCGGCGAGCTCCTGCTTCATCTTCCTCGTGGGAACCAAGAAGGACCTTCTGGTGAGCAGAGCGGCGGGAGGCCTGGCTGGCACTGGGGGGTGGGGGGTGGGGAATGCCCACGTTTGAGGAGGGAGGGAGGAAGGAAGGCGGCACAGTGGGAAGCAGGCAGTTGCCTACCCCCAGGGGCCTCCCTGCAGGAGGGCCAATCACTGGGTCAGCGAGGGCCCTTCTCCAGTCAGGGGCAGCGTGTGAGCAGGCCGAAGCGGAGGCTGTGCACCTGGCCAATGAGATGCAGGCTGAGTACTGGTCGGTGTCTGCCAAGACCGGTGAGTGGAGCCCGGGCTGTCGCCGTGGTGGGGCCAGAGCGCTGCTCTCAGGCCAGGCTTTTCCTTCTGTGGCCCTGCGCATGCTGGCGTCACAGCCCAGCCTTGCTGGTGACTGGCAGTGCCTTCTGTTGCCTGAGAGGAGGCCCCTTTATCTCTAGGAGGCTGGGAGGCCTGCCTCATGGATAGGGGAATAGCGACCCTGGCCCCGTGCTGTGCTGGCATGTTCTCCAAGGCAACCCCCACACCACCTGTGAGGCAGGTTCCTTTTATCCTTGTGAAGTCACTTCCAGGAACACAGGGAAGAGGTGACAGGGCCGGGATCCAAACCCCTGTAACCACGGCACCATCTTGCCCTTGCCCCTCAGATGCCAGGTGTGTGACACTGCCCAGCATGCAGAAGGGCCCAGTAAGGGGGTGCTCCTGCTCCTTCCTCGGTGTCACCGTGTCTTGTGGCCCCCAGCTCTCACCCATCCCACTCCCCACCCAGTCTGCCCCCGGCAACGCTGGGCCCCCAGCCCCTGGCAAGATGCCCAATATCTCCAAGCCTCAGTCCCTTCATCTGGGAAGCGGGCTGAAGCTCGCTTTTGTTAATGAAAAACCATGTTTTAAATCACAAAAATCCACACATGCTTACTGAGGAAAAATTAGAAAATGCAGAGACGCAAAGAGCAGGCTGAAAACACAGGTCGTTCGGGGGTGAAATGAAACAACGTGCGGTGCCCAGCACGCAGTGGGCCCCTGGGGCTCTGCAGACTCGGGTATCAGGCCCAGTAGTCCTTGCCCCAGGCAAGGGGGGACAGTGAATATCAGGCCAGGGATGGAGTGAGCACTGAGGGTCATGCCACCTCCAGCCCAACGCAAACACCTTTCAGCGCCATGCCTGGTGCCCTCTGTTGGCCTTCTCGACAGTGTCCCTTCCACCCTGTGAGAACCTGCTCTCCCCTGTCAGAGGGACAGTTTACAGACAGCTTGCTATGGGCCAAGCAGGCCTGCCCATGCAGATGTTGAGGTTGCTAGCTGCACAAGGGCAGTGTGCAGTATGCATGTTGGGGGCTGGAGCCCCGCCTGCTCCCCGATGGGCAGCTGCCTCCCCCTGGAGGAGGATGCACAAAGGCTCCTTGTGGGAGCGCATTAATCCTCATGGCCCCGTTGGGCAGCTATCGAAAGTGACAAGAGAGCAGAGACACATGTCTGTCCTGAGCTCCACACATCCCAGCACCTGGCCCATAGCAGGTCCTCAGTAGTAGCTGACTGGAAGAGTAGATGCTGAGAAAGGAAGGCTCAGAGGTTTGAGGGAGCGGCCTGGGCAGGTCACCCGGGGTGGGAGTGGGATGGAGCCAGGTGGGAGGTCGGGCTGGCAGGCCCTGTCTAACACGGGTGGGACTTCACCCTCCTGTGCTTACTGTTACTGTCAGGGGTGCTCTGGGAGGGGCACTAGAGCCAGCCTCGGGGTGGGCCGCCCTGGCTCTTGCACCAAATACAACCAGGGGCAAGGGCAGAGGCAGATGGGGTCATGGCTGTCTCGCGGGCCCACAGGGGAGAATGTGAAGGCGTTCTTCAGCCGCGTAGCCGCCCTGTCGTTCGAGCATTCGGTGCTGCAGGACCTGGAGAGGCGGAGCAGCACCCAGCTCCAGGTCGGCGACGGAGACCTCATCCGTGCGTACAGGCGTGGCTAGGTCGGGTTGGGGAACAGGCTCGTGGCCTAAAATCCACATCCACCATTCTTCTGTCACCTGTGACCCTGCCATTTCCTCCCTCTGTTGTCCTTTGATGCTCCTCTCTGAGTGTCACCCTGCCTTCAGGCCTGCAGCCTCCCTGACCCCACTTGCCAGCTCAGACACCTTCCTGGGCCCTCCTGACAGCCTCCTCACGGGCCGGCTAGGCATCCTAGGCTCTGCAGACATACCTGGCTCTGGCTCTTTCAGTCTGTGCTTTTGCCCACTCTGTTCTACCACCCGGAATGCACCCTAGGCCTTTTGGCCTGTGCCAAGTCATCTAGGCTTTGACCGATAGCCCAAGTTCACAGCTCTGGCTTTCAGGGTTGGGGTGGCTCCTGCCACTTAGCTGATGCTGGATTACTTTTCCCCTCCTTACAGGAATGAAGGGAAGTTCGCCTGAGAGCCAGGAGGGCAGGGGGCTCTCCAGCCTAGGTTGCTGTTAGCTGGGCCCTGCATCAGAGGCCTCCGCACCCCCCACGCTCACGGACAGCAACTTCTGAACCTGTGGAGGGGTGACGTGGAGGCCGAGCTCTGCAGCGTGTCTGCCCTTGAGGTGTGGAGGGCCTATGTTCTGGGCCCTTCACCCACCCACTGTGCAGAGCCGCAGGGCTCGGCCACTTCTCTTTGGCAGGTCGTGGAGCCAGGAAAGGCCCCCCAACTGGCTGCCTGGGGGTCCCACACTGCCTGGCGGGTGGGGGCACTGCAGTGATCCCCTGAAAGGCTGGTCCCACCTGCAGGGTCGTCAGACGGTCTCCCTTGGCCTTAAAAGGCCTCAGGACTGCTAACTAGGGATGCTACTGCCCCAGCCCATACCCTTTGCCCATGGCCCCCATCCGCAGTTGACCCCAGCACCTCTCCCAGCCATCCTGGGTGTGGCCTCACAGCCCTCCTCATCACCGTGTTCCAGGCAACCTGCATTCGTCAAAGTCGGCACCTGAGGGAGAACCCACCTGCCATCCCCCTCTCGAGTTTTCTGTTGTCTGTAGGAAGCTTGTAGTTCTGGGCCTTGGAGCTCCAAGCCTCGCTGTCCACTGTCACTCTGCCACAGGCTCTAGGCGGCCCCGGGCAGGATAGGCATCTGGATGGTGAATTTTCCTGGCCTTGCTGCAGGAGGAGGGCTGCACAGCCACCCTGGGGTAACTCACTCTGCAGCCCTTGAGTGTGGCACTGCCCTGCTCTGGCACTCATGGCAGGCCTGTGCCCACTGCTGCCTCCTCATCCCTTTCCGCCTCTGGCCTGCATGTCCCTTAGGCCCTGTGTAATGGTGTCCACACTTCTTTGGAGGCTCCCGAGGCCTCCAGAGTCTAGCATGTTCCTGTCTCCACTGTTTCCTCCTGCACACAGAGCAGGCAGGAGCACCCTCTGCCCAGAGTGCTTGTCCACAAGGTCTTCTCACCACTGTGAACCAGCTCCATGGTCCTGTCACCCTGGCTATGCCCTCTCCTCCCCACCCACCTTGTGCCATAGGCGGGTGGGTATGTCTGGTGTCCCCAACTGCTTCCTGTAGATGGTGAGCACTTTGCAGGCAGCCTGCAGGTCAGCGCCGTCCTCCCAGTGCCTGGCACGCTGCAGGTGCCCCGCAAATGTTCGTCACCGCACAGCGATCGCCAAATAGCAGTTAGTGAAAAACACTGGCATCTCTTCCTGTTCGTTCCTTCTTCACTGTATTTTTAGCTCTCTTTTTTTTTTACATATATAAAACACTTCTTTATGCAAATTGCTTTTAAAGTTGTGTGTGCTTCCTGTAAAACAAGACAGTACAAAGCATATAAAATACAGAGTGGAAACCCCCCCTGCAATGTTATTGGCTTGTTTGTCGTTTCACTAGCATGACGCCGTGCGTACACACTGCCCGGCAGCCTGCCTTCCTAGGGAGCTGCCACCGGACCCTCCCCTGTGGAGAGCCTACACGTTCCTTTAGCAGTGGCCAGTTTTCTTTCGTGGATGGGAGGTCACCTTCATTCGACCTGCTCTATATGTCATCCAGTTTGTATCAAGCTTTTAGCTTTTACCCGTGGTACTGCAGTGGCCATCCTGGTACTTAGAGCTGTGCACATTCAGGATCTCCAAAAGAGGCCTTGCCGGGCCCTTCTTTGGACTGTGGCCCCCAGCCTGGTCCACTAGATGCAGTCTGTGGGGATGCAGATGGCATCGGGGGTGTGTTAGGGAGGACCCGGCATGCAGGGCATCACAGAAAGCTTCACAGGGTGGGAGAGCTGGGCCACGGTGGGTCGGCACTGTCCACGGCTCCCTCCCTTGCCCCTTCAGGCCCAAAGACATTGTTGGGGGTGGGGATATGTGGTCCTGCTGTGACCAGCCCTGAGCTTGAACCACGCTGTCTGGTGTACACCCACACCTCCGTGCATGGTCCTTTATGGAACTCTCCTGGTGCTACCCTCCGAGACACACCAGCTGGTCCCTGCAGGCCCAGACTGGCAGAGTCATGACCTCTCTGATTTCGATCTTTGGCCTGGGAGGACAAGAAACTAAGCCCTCCAGGGACATGCAAGGGCTGCATTGTCCCCCACCCCGAGTTGATGTAGCATCTTCTCTGTGGGAATCGCTTCAGTGTGGCTCACACACCCTCACTTTGATACAAGGAGTCAACAGAGATATTCCCTCCACCTTCAACATTTTGCAGAAAATTTCTGGGGCAGAGAAATTTGGGCAGGTTGGTCTGGTCCTGTGGGCCCAGGGAAGCAGACCCCTGCAGTCAGGACACAGCGAGTGACCACAGTGACCACGTCCAAGTGCTTCAGAGACATCTTTTCATTCTTCCCCGTTTCCCCTGGCCCCTTCCCTGCTCTCTGTCCATCTGTTTGTTTATAATTCGTTTGTCTTTCTCTCCTGCTGGCCACACCTTGAAGCAGGTCCTTTCCCATCAATTCCTGGCCCAGCCCAGCACCCCACGGGGCCCTGTGCCCCAGCCTTCATCCCTGGTCACAATGGAGTCTCTGCAGGTGCCAGGCCCTCTGCCTGGACTGTCTTGCCCCTCTTATGAGCCCAACAGATGGGATACCCCTACTCTAGGAGGCCTTTGTGGGCATCCCCATGACTCGCACAGCACTTGTCACCCTGGGTGTGATTGACCATGTCTGGCTTTGTGCCCCACTGATCTGTGGGACCCCGAAGACCAGGTTGGTGACCTTGTCACCTCCGCTATCCCCCCAGCACCTCCAGGAGGAAGGGTCCACAGTAGGGGCCCAATAGACGTCTCAGGAAGGCAGGAAGGTTACTCGAGCAAGACGTGCTCCCTGCAGACACATAGCACTCTGACCCACGATGCTCACCGCCTGGCGAGCAATCCTGTGCTTCGCTCTCCTTGGTGGCAGAGACAGTTGTGCCTCATCACTCACTCACAGACTCCAGAAGTCCTGTCTGACCCCAAGACCCTCATGGGTCATCAGCCAGTGAAGGCTGTTTATCTTCCGGTCTTGGGAGGAGCTTGGCAGAAGCCAGCAACAGAAAATTGCAGGGCAAAGCTGGGCAGGTCTGCGGAAGGAGCCTCATGCCAGGTGGAGACATTCTGCGCACAGGAACGAGTTAGACGTGGGATGTAGAGGGCAGGGGTGGGTGTTTGGTTATTTACTGCTGCGTAGCAAACCACCCCAAAAATTCATTTCTTAAAGTAACAACCATTTGTCATTTCTCATGAGTCTGTGATTTGACTCTTCTGCTCCATGGTTAGTGGCCGGGGCAGTGGAAGGACGGTCCCAGGGTCTAAAATGGCCTTACTCACATGACTGGTGCGTGGATACTTGGCAGGGCCTCACCACACGGCAGCTTGGGCTTCCTCACAGCATGGTGGCTGGTTTCCAAGCAGGGATGTTCCAAAAGATAAGCCCCAGTACGTAAGTGCTTGTCAAGCCTCCATTTGCATCGTACTTGCTACAATGGGACGTTTTGGCCAAACATCCCATTGGCCAAAGCTCAGAATCAGTGTGGAAGGGGACTTCATAAGAGGGTGAATAGCTGGAGGCCTGATGCTTTGGGGACCAATATAGGGAACTACTTCTCCCCTTTGTCCAGAAGCAAGGGGACGGCTTTCTTGCCATGGGAGAGCTCCTTGCTCCAAACCTTGCCCAAGAACTCATCGTGGAGAAGCTTCCTCAGGGATGTCTGGTTTGGCCTCTCTAGCTGGGTTGAGTCACCCTTTATCCTGATCCTGGTCATCCTTGAGGCATCACTGAAGTTACCATTCTCCCCTTACTGTCCTGGTGGCTGTGGTGACCTGTTTCACCACTGTGTCCCCAGCACCAGCCCACCAAGTAAGCAACCAAATGAATGAGCAACTAGTCACATGGTGCCGCCTCATGTGACCTTGCTAACAGCTGGTATTTTATAGTTCGGTTCCCTGAGGGAAGAGGCCAGGGCTAGGCCCACCCCTGACCCCTGACCCCAGCGAGCACCATCATCAGCTCGAACCCACTTTTGGTGGAAATTCTGGCCCAGCATCCCCAAAAGCAGAGGTCATCCAGGAGTGGGGTGCAGTAGCAAGAACCCTCACTTACAAGGCACCCACTCTGCCAGGCCTGTGTACAGCGAAGTGCTCGAGGGGAAGCTCATTTAATCACAGTGGTGCTGTGGGCTGGCCGTCACAACTGCCCTGTCCCCGCTAACAGGTAAGGAGACCCAGGTGCAGAGAGCTGAAAAGACAGGACACATGTAAGCACCTTCTCCTCTGCCCTCACCCCTGCTTGGCCTCTGACCCCAGTGGGAACCCTGCTCCAGGTGGCCCCGCCCCTGGGGCGCTGTGTTCCTCAGTCATGTGGTCCCAGTCCCCTGCCACCTAGGGTTGTAACCCCGAAAAACTATTTGCATGGCCCCAACCACACCCAGCCCTCCTCAGTGTCCCCCGGCCGAGCCCTCCCCGTCACAGCCTGCTCCCCGCACCGCCCCCCCACGGTGAGTCTCCCCAGCCCCACTGCTGCAAGCTCCACAGAGACCAGAGCAGGGCACACTCAGCCTCCTTCGACCTCATGCTCTGGGTGCCCCGGCCCGGCCCTCCTCTGAGCCCTGCTGCTGGCCTCTGCAGTGGAGGGGAGGCCCCCAGGATCCATTTCAGCCTGGGGGGTGGGATGGGGACCCCTCCCAGACAAACATCACTCTCTGGAGGGACGTGGGGCATCTTAAGCCAGGAGAGCTAATGTTACCTACGATCTAGGTAACTGAACATAGCAGTAGACAGAAGATCGGTTAAATTCACATGTTCAGGCTGGGCACAGTGGCTCGCACCTGTAATCCTAGCATGCTGGGACGCCAAGGTGGGAGGATCGCTTGAGATCAGGAGTTCGAGACTAGCCTGAGCAAGAGCAAGACCCCATCTCTGCTAAAAATAGAAAAGTTAGCTGGGAGTGGTAATGCATGCCTGTAGACCCAACTATTGGGAGGCTGAGGTGGGAGGATCACTTGAGCCCAGGAGTTGGAGGTGGTAGTGAGTTATGATGATGCCACGGCACTCAAGCCCAGGTGACAAAGCCAGACCCTGTCAAAAATAAATAAATAAATTCACAGGTTCACTCATTTACTAATTCTTACTCCTTCATGCATTCAGCCTTCCCAGAGCCCCCTTCCTGGCCTGGCCCTCTGCAGTCTCCCATTTATTCCTTCCA